ATTAAATACCTTACCCCCCTTAATAGGCCGCTGCCGACCTCTGAACTAGAGGTATCATTGTACGTCGAACGATGGAATTTATAGAATTTTTTCCATAAGAACGGGAAAAGAAGCAAGTATTTTTAAATCCGAACATCGAAAAATTATATATTCAAGGAGTTAGAATGTCTATTAAAAAACCTCTCTCATAACTTGAAGGCCACTATTATCTTTAAAAAACATGCTGTGTAAAGCGGTGACAAGCTCGATACGTAAAAATGACTTAAAAATACTTTATAGTTTCTAATGGTTTAGAAAAAAAATTGTATAAATTGCATCCATTGACGTAGAATGGTGGTATTTATCTCAAAAACTCGGGAAAAGACTCTTCTAGAATATAGATGCCTGTAAAATATTTTAGGACACATATTTTTATTGCATTTTTTTAAGTCTGCTCACCGCATTATATTAAAAATTATGAGCAAAAATTGAAACAGCCGCTAAATGAAGCGATCAAAAATTTCAACAGCCGCTAGATGGAGCCAATAGCTTTGACGACTGCATATCTCCATCTCCATCGCACTCCCTTCAGCGAAGTAGCGGTTATCTGATAGTCACAGTTATCGACTATAGCGTTCTCTAGTTTTAATCTAAATCGGTCAAATTTACTTTATAAATAAAAAAACAAATTTTTTTGTGAGGGCGATGGTTAAAATTTTTTAAAATCTTACTTTGTTTTTATTTTTAAGAAATATATTTAAATATCACTAAGAAATATATTTTATTTAATTATTTTATATATTTTTTTTTATTTTTTTAAAAGTTTTAATTTTTTAAAAAAATTAACAAAAAAAGTAGGGGAGTGTAGGGTAAGGTGACGAACGATTCGTTTATTCAAAATTTTTCTAAAAATCAATATTTTTTAAAAGTGTAAACGCAGAAAGTTGCTTACATCTACTGAGCATATCCCTGTAAAATTTGAATTCGAAATTCCAATGCAGCCAAATCCCACAGTGTTTGGCGTGAACCCTTCTTTTTTTGCACTTTCAAAAGTTGTAGGGTAATGTGACGAACGATTTGTTCTTTAATGTAACTTCTCCAAAAAACAATATTTTTTAAAAGTGTAAAAGCAGAAAGTTACTTACATTTACTGAGCATATTTCTGAAAAATTTGGATTCGAAATTTCACGTAGCCAAATCCCACAGCGTTTGGTGTAAATCATCCTTTTCACAAACAAAAAAATACATTTTTTTATATATAATTTACGGAAAAGTTATTTTCGATACGGAAAAGAAGGAAGTAATAAGATAATACCCAAACTTACAAAAAAAAAAAGTCAATGTGCAATTTTTTAAAATTAAATTAAACTGACGTCACTATTAAAAACAACAATAAAACTGCAGCAGTAAAAGTTATCTGGTATTATTATATTTTTTTTACAAATAATCAACGATAACAATTAAAATTCTTGAATAAAAAAAGTTCGTCACAATACCCTACAAAAAGTTCGTCACGATACCCTACAAGGTATACTTGGAGCAAAAACGGTGTCACTTTCAAACGGCGCAAAAGAAAAAAACGCGAAGAACCAAAAACTGCTGATAAAGATCTCATGTATACGTGCATATATTTGCCTGATATTTTTTTCCACTCATCTTTGCTCTGGCACTGCTAAAACACAAGTAAATTGAATAGGTTTTCTAGTTTGCGCACCACATTTTTAGCGAAAATTACCTCACGAACAAATTACGGGACTTCTTATTAATATTACTGTAAATACATTGTCGACACGATAAGGGGAGACGACTACATTTATTTGAAATTTTTGTCGTAACGTCATATATGAGATTCGACGAGTTCGTCACATTACCCTACTCGTCAAATTACCCTACACTCCCCTATTTAAAAATTTCAAAATTTTAATTAAATACATTTTTTTTTAAATTAAAAAAATATATTTAAAAATGTTTAATAAATTACATAAAACATAAAAATAATAAATAAATAAATTTTAAACAAGAGAGAACGCTATAGTCGGGTTGGTGTCCCGACTATCTAATACCCGTCACTCAGCTAAAGGGAGTGCGAGGGATAACTTTTTAACTTTTTAGTGAATGGTCCGATTTGAAAAATGTCTTCTACATTTATACTTTTTGGAAATCTTTAAAGATGTGGGCTCAGGACACATTCTAATATCGTTAGTGGGCGATTGTGAGCGTTAGAGGGGGCGTGGCGCTCGGCTGAAATAAACTTGCGCTGCGTAGGAAGAATATGTGTGGGAAATCTCAACCTTCTAGCTTTTGTAGTTTCCGAGATCTCAGCGTTCATACGGACAGAGAGACAGACAGACGGACAGACAGACGGACAGACGGACATGGCTAGATCGACTCGGCTAGTGACCCTGATCAAGAATATATACACTTTATGGGGTCGGAAACGCTTCCTTCTAGCTGTTACATACTTTTGCACGAATACAATATACCCTTTTACTCTACGAGTAACGGGTATAATTATTGTTTATTGAATGGACGACTAAATAAATAATTGTAAGTTTTTAATAGATTAAAAAATGACTTTTTATTTTTGTCATTAAGAAATTGTCGAAACTCTTAAAAGAAAACTTTTAATCATCAACAATTTTTAAAGGACTGGAAACGATGAAAATACATGAATTCCATAAGGATTCGATAAGAGTGAGAGAGTAGAGAGTAGTAGTACACACAAAAAAATTTGCTTGGTAAAATTGACCAAAAAAGATAGTTACGTAACTATTAAAATAGTTACGTGTATTTTGTTTTTGCTTTGGGTTTGTGTCTTTGCTAATTGTGTGTATTTTGTTGTTGTGAAATGACTATTTGCTTAGTAGAATTGACAATTTTGCTGGTTGGGGACTGTTTGACAATTATTACAGTTGATTTTACCAAGTTTTTTTTTTTGTGTAGCTGCGACAGTTTTTCATAGAAACAAGCCGAGGCCTTGTTAAAACAAATTTGATATTTTAAAAACTAAAAGTGGCTCCACCTTTTTGACAAAAAATCATTAAAAAAAAAATTTTTTTGTGGGGAACACGTTAAAAAAATATTTTAAAATCTTAATTTGTTTTTATTTTAAAGAAATTAACAAAAAAAATTTTTTTAAGAATAGGTTTTAGAGGTGTTAATGCAAAAGACACGAAGTCAATCGGATTACTACAACCGGAGATTCAGATTTTCAATGAGAGGGTACTTTTTCAAAATTCACGATTTTTGGCAAACTAAAAAAATTCTACAACAAAAAAGATTTTTTCGGCCAAATCCTGATACACGTGTTTACTAATTTTCCGAATAGTACACGTAAAAAAAGTTTCAGGCAAATCAAAAATGTGAAAGAATATTTTTTACCAAATCCGTTCGGTGTGTAAAAGGACCGCCCATATACAAAAATTTACCAGAAATCAACTTTGTTCAAATCAGGAACCATATAAAATATTTATTCCCTTTTTTTAAACAAAACAAGAAAGGAAGTTAGCTTCGGACAGCAGAAGTTTATATACCCTGGCAAATATGCCTACACACAAAAAAAAAATTAGTAAAATCAACTGTAATAATTGTCAAACAGGCCCCAACCAGCAAAATTGTCAATTCTACTAAGTAAATAGTCATTTCACAACAACAAAATACACACAATTAGCAAAGACACAAACCCAAAGAAAAACAAAATACACGTAACTATTTTAATAGTTACGTAACTTTCTTTGTTGGTTAATTTTACCAAGCCAATTTTTTGAGTGTAGTCTCTGAGTTTCATGTCCGACCGCCAAGATATTTTTGCACGTAAATCCTTAAGAAATCGTGATCCATCAAAGATAATTTTGTTCGCGAATTTCGAGGGTGAGTCCGCTCATCTAGAGTATTACCAAGAAATGAACTGGCATCTATGCCATCTCAAATTTTGAAATTTTTTGAAAAATTCTATTTTATGTCACATTTCATTTGAACTGTAAAAAGGCTTTAAGGGAGAAAAAAAGCCAAACAGAATGAAGAAAAGAAATCACAACTGACTTTGCCTTTGACTTAGACCCAAAGAAAGCATGCCATTGTTTGCGCTTAACAGCTCAATTCTGTGCCCTAACAGCACTCTGTAATTGTTTCTCGTTCAGATAAATTAGAGGAGTCGAGAAAACCGATTTGCTTATGCGAAAAGTTTACTGGAGTTTATATTTTTTGGACAGATAGCTATTAAAATAGCTATTAAAATAGCTATCTGTTTGAAAAACTTAAATACCAGATAAACTGTTCGTAAAAGCAAATCCCCTTTCTCGACTGCTTTAATTTATCTGAACGAGAAACAATTACAGAGTGCTGTTAACGCACAGAATTGTGCTGTGAAGCGCAAAAAATGGCATGCTTCGATTATTTTATCAGCTGTTTGGGTATAATTTTAAGGTAAAGTCAGCTGTGATTTCGTTTCTTCTTCTTAGTTGGCTTTGTCATTCTATCGAGTCGAAAACGCTTAACAGGGACTCCGAGTCCCTGTCAAAGTTAGCTCTCACATTTATGCTCGAGAAAGCCAAAATGCCTTAGCAGGGACTTTATCTGTTCGAGAAATGTTAGCCGGCACTCGAGAAACCGGCCCTTAGTATGATTTTATCTGTTCGAGAAATATTAGCCGGCACTCAAGAAAGTGGCCCTAAAAATTACAGTTATTTTTTGACTGAAAAATTAAGTATAAATATTTCTTTTGAAAATAATTTTACCAAAAAGCTGTTCTCTCTTAACGCGTTGCGCTGTTGATGAGCCATATATGTATGACCTTTCCTTATGCGCAATTTAGCTTAAATTACATGTGTATGTAGATTTTACGAAATTCGATCGTTTAACATTAAAACGTCACCAGGAGTTGTTGTGTGCACCCAATCTACTTTGATGTTTTCGCCATATCATATTTTTGTCTTACTTATAAGATCGATCCAATTCGATTAATTCATATGGTTTTAGTTACAAAATGTCATCATTCCTTGATTTTTCCTTTCCATTTTCAGAACTGTGAGCCGGAAACCGATATCTGCTGCACATACAAGGCGCCACCCACCACAACGACAGCTAGCCCCGTGCCGTTTGCGTCCTGTCCCCGCGACTCGGACTGTGTAGCACCGGAAAACTGTCGCAACGGTGAAATAAGTGCCATAAACTACGTGAAGAAGCAAGGAGTAAGTTTTACTTGTGACTACCGGCGGTCAGAAAACATTTTGCCATCAAAACAGTTGAGCAATCCATAGGGAAACACCAACTCGGCGATATTTGTACAAAGGGTTTTCCCATTCATGTTAGTTTAGCATAATTATAATTCCAATAGCAATCTAGTCGCACTGCTTTAATGCTGTACCAACGACGAGACGAACAAGCCAAACAAAGCGACATCAGCAGAAGCAACTGGCTTCTCCGGAATCAGACTCGAACGCAACACCAATTTCACAATTTCAACGGTGCATAAGAATTCCACGAAAAAAATACAAAATTAGAAACATTATTAGCACACAATTAGATTTATTGGCTGCTAAGGCTTTTAACATGGGATTTTAAGAAACGAAAAGGACAAATAAAAAAATGGTGCAGGCCAATAGTTGGCCGTTAAAATTGTGCTAGTTCTTTAAGCGTATTTTTTCCAAGTCCCATCGGCAATGACATTGCCTCAGGGCGAAGAGTGCATTCCAAAAACTCTGGCAGCAGTAGCGACCAGGCAGCAATTAAACTGGAATGCGGTTGCCCTATGTACAAATAATGCCTTACATACATACATGCATACGAGTCAAAAGTGTTAAATTGCGGTTACACCGAGTAAAAATATGTATATGCAGGGCGTATACAGATATTCATTTATATGTATACACATATGTTAATAAATAAGCAAAGGGTAGGTAAACGGTTCATCGGCACAGCTCCGCGTGTGATGATAGAGGACACGACTGAGAGAGACGACAAGGCATGCGACTGAGAGAGATCTCAGATTTTCACCAGGCCAGTGCAATTGCATAATTTGCTTACATGCAATGGCCGGAAAAACGGGTCAGTTGCGTACGTTGTTGCTGTAATGCTACGTCTTAAAAAATGAGCGCCGCAAGTGAAATATGTTGTAGTGCAGACAGACGGTTACATCTGCAGGTCGAGATTGGAAATCATCGCTGCCATCCATGTACATACATATGTATGTATGTAGGCATCAAAAGAATTGTCGTAAATACATATTTGTTAATTTTTTGTAATGCCCTAGAAAAAATGAACACCCTAATACAAATACCACTCCATCTCTCGTGGTGTAACTAAATGTAACTGACACACCGTCGCTCAGGGACTATTATACACCATTAAGACTCGATTCTTCAGGTTATGCAGGCATTAACGTCAGTTGCGTGGCATGCAAAGATGCAAGAATGTTAAATAGCAATACAGCAGCGGTCGGCACACACATACAATAACATTTTGTTTAATATTTGTTTGAGTAAATTGTACTGGGCAGATCATCAGAGTGTGTGTGCAGACCGCTGTTCTACATTATACGTGTGCGAGCAGCGCGCCGGCAGAACAAAGCCCTATGCCCACCTAATAGGACGCTGCCGACCGCTGCAATACAGCAATAAAAAATGCGAGGAATGCAGGCGAGATCGCTAAGTTCTGGGACATCCATGAATGTACATATGTACATACGTATGTAACAATAAATAAATAACTAGAACTGGGAAAACAAAATTTGTATAAACAAATGCATACCAAAGTAGCTCTTAAAGTTATGAAGTTGCTCACAAGCAACATACATACATCTTGATTTTGTACAACTTTTAGTTTTTAAGATATCTTTAAAAAACTGCCGTTTGCTCGGCACAAAAATAAAAGTGGATTTCGGGGAGGTTCATTCAACATCAGAAATTAGCGAATTCTGATGGAATATTTGAATGCGATTTTTTTTAGAATGTTGTTCAAACATGTCGCTGTGAAATGGTTTTGAATTTACTCAAAAATTGTTTGCCGTTTTTTTTATGCAGTTTAAAACACATTCGCTCGGGACATGTCGCTCGGGACATTTTTCTGACTGTTTTGCAAAGTGTTTTTTTTTACCTCTATCCCTAAATTGCTGGATGTTTTGCTTTTAACTTAATAGCTTAACATGTAAATGAAGCTTTTAGTACAGAAAAATGTCACATATTAGCATTCCTATAGGATAAATTAACAACAGAAGACAGGTCCAAGACATAACAAAAAAAAAAATAGCCAAAAACTAACTTTTGTGTATATTATTGGGGTTTGTCATACAAATAATCAAACTATACTCCAAATTTTTAGTTTAGCTCGGGACCCAATTAATTAGAAACTAGTATGGCGGCAAAATCAAGTGGAAATATGTTTTTTTCAAGTTTCAAGTTTTTTGGCTTGGTGGACTTTTTGGTGGAAGTGCTCATATTTACATTGCACATAGCTTACAAAGCTGTAAAGAAAAAACATTTATTTTTATAATTATTATTTATAAAATTTAAACAAAAAACACCTCTTAACGAGTTAAAAAACACTTGTGACGATCTCACCATCAACATACAAAAGATGTGATATCACCATTTGTAAAAAAAAAAATTTTTTAACTCGTCATTAGATACACTTTCCAAAAATTTTCTCATTTCGGGTCTTTTTAATTTGATAAATTATTCTCACCTCTGGAATTTTTTATTTAATTGTTGTACAATGCCACTATGGGTAAAATCCCAATTTTGGTGCATAAACCTGTTTATTTTCATAATTTATTTTTATGAATGGACCATACTAATCGATTCTTGATATCTTGATTTGAAGAAAACCGCCTCCAAAAATCTTGTTTTCCACCTGTGAACTGTCTTATATGCACCCAAAAAAAATCGACTGAAATATCCCTTGGTTTTAGAAAATCGCCTATGAATTTGCTTTACTGGCGATTTTGTCTATATTAAAGAAAGTAGGTTTTTAAAATCAAAGACGTTTTTGCTAAAAATCATAAAAAAATAAACTGCAATTTAGAAATATTTTGCTAGAAAGGAAAAAATTATTTCTTAGAATTTAGAAATAAAGGTTTTCTAAAAAATAGAAATACGGTTTTTTTAAATATAGACAAATATTTTTTAAATAACAAAAAAAATTTCTCAAATTTAGAAAATACTAAAATCTATTTTCGGGCTTCGGAATTATACCCGGTTGTTTCTGTGACTCCACGGCCTTTGTGTTGTTTTTTTTTCGTTCTTGTTTGTCACCTTATTTGAATTTCCTTTAATTGAGCACTTGTGTGGTTTCAAATTGGAACTGTAATAATAATTGAATGAGTACACAAATTAGAAATTAGAAATATAAAAGCCCAATAACTTACTATTTTGAGAGAAACATCTTGGTCGCCGCACGCGGGAATCAAACCGCTAACCGCTCGCCTCACAGTTTGCAGTCAAGCACTCTACTAGCTGCGCCACGGTAGCATCACGTGAGGCGCTGTACTAAGTCTATTCCCGTTTTGTTCTCCTATTTTTACTCAAATTGATCTGGCTCTCTTCTGGTTATTCCTTTTAGTTGTTCATTTAATTTTGCTTTTAAATATTTATTGTTTAATATTAATATTTATATATTTATTATGGTTCAATAGTAACAGTAATTGAATGTTTCAAATTTGAAAAACTTAAACATTATTTTTATCAAAATATAATTATTCATGAGCTCATGAATATGTAAATATTAGTGTTAAAAAAAAAAAAAAAGACACCATGAGTTTTTCGTCTCGACGTGGGATTGAACTCACACTTGCAGCCGCAAGCTTGAATAACATATGCATGCACGCACGCATTAGACCCCTAGGCTACCAATCCCGGAAATTTTCTTCTATTATTAGCGATTTTTTCTTAGGCTAAAAAAAATTGTTCTTAAAAGTGTATAAGAAGGGAAATTGATCAAATACGGTTAAATTTTTTATTTTCTAGAAAAATATTACTTCATATCACACATTTTTATCTAAATGTTAGAAAAATCTTCAAACAATTTTTCTGTTTTTAGAAAAACAATATTTCTATTATGTAGAAATATTTATAATTTTAATGGCAATTTTTTTTATTTTTAGAAAAGTTCAGTCATTTTTTTTCTAAAATCAATGGCGATTTTAACCCTCAACTAAAGAAAGGAAGATTAGAAAAATAAACCTTATAATTTGGAAAAAAAATTGATTTTTCTGTATTTCAGAAAAAATTTACTAAAAAACTCGTTCAACAGAGAATTTTTTTGAAGATTAGAAAATTTTTCTGAAGATTAGAAAATTTTTCCACTTTATAGAATATTTTTTTAAAGCACAGAAAAATTTTTTTTTCTAAATTTAAGAAAAAATTATTTTTTGAGTGTGAGAGGTCGTGGGTTCGATTCTAGCAGTGACCAAAAGTAAGTTGTTTTTTCTCCTCATATTTATATCCCTAATTCGTTTACAAACATGATTTTTCAGTTCTAATGGCTGTGCTGTATAGGTCGGCCCCCCCTTAATGCAGCTCCCATACAGCTCTACACTAATACAATAACATGAAACGGTCTTCTCCGCCGGTTTTTATACCCTTGTAGAGGGTATTATAATTTCAGTCAGATGTTTGCAACGCAGTGAAGGAGACGTTTCCGACCACATAAAGTATATATATTCTTGATCAGCACCAATAGCCGAGTCTATCTAGCCATGTCCGTCTGTCCGTCTGTCCGTTTCTATGCGAACTAGTCTCTCAGTTTTAAAGCTATCGCGATGAAACTTTCCCGAAAGTCTTCTTTCTATTGCAGGTAGTACATATGTCGGAGCGAGACGGATCGGACCACTATATCTTAAGGCTCTCATAGGAATATTCAAACATATATAAGAAAATTATTGTTAATTTGTAGGAAGTAGGCGTTTTAATTCTTGACTACTTAAAAACAAAATTCAAAAATAGGAACACTGAATCTGGAATCCCTAGAACTGCACCGAGTGAGTATTACTTTATCTGCAAGGGTATATAGGCTTCGGCTGGCCGAAGGTAGCTTCCTTTCTTGTTTTTAATTAAAACAGTCCCAGTTCCCAAAATATACATGATTGAAATAAAAACTTTCCAAAATTTAGTTAAGCATGCTCAAACACGATTTTTTTTAATTTGTCTAATTTTTAGGGCATTCGCCTTTAAAAGCAGAAATGTAGTCCTTTATT